AGAATCAAAAATAAATATGGATCCAGGCTCAAAATGAGCTCCTTGATATGTGCTTTAGAATGGCTTTGTCTCCATTCAAACCCAGGTTTAAAGCCTCGCAGGGCAGCATAAAGCCCACTGCGAACATTAGGACAGAAAAAAGAAAGGAAAAAAAAGTTCAGTTCAGTTGTTTTGTAAAAAAAAAAAAAAAAAGCGAATCAGGAAATTGTCTAAATACCAAAGATCTATAACTAAAAGATTGTTGTTCTCTACTTCAATAACAATTTAGATTTTTAAAAATGAAAAATTTTCTTTTTTATTTTAATATTTTTTATTAAAAAATTCAATGTATAACATGGATGCATAAACACCTTATTTTATTTCAGTGTTAAATTCTGTTTAAAGTAACGGATTATAATAAAAAATGTCTCCGGACCTTTACTGGTTGTTGATTTTCTTAATTTGGACCTCGCTGGTTTTTAATCGGTTACCCCTGGTGTAGAGCTTGCTCTGGTGTGAACAAACAGAACTGACAAAGACTCCTGGATAGGTGTCAAAACATCTTAAAAAAAACTGAGTAAAAGTCCAGTTGCAATCCATTTTAAGCCTGTTTTTTGGCCATAAAATAAGATATTTATTTCCAAAGTATTTGCTTTTTAAATTCCAATTTACAATATTTGAACAAAAATCCCTCCATGAAGGTCCGTGTTTGAACCAAACATGGACGCCTGGATCAGTTTTTATTTGGACAGCTGATGGATCAATCAGTGCTGGATAATTTTAGGTTATGTAGCTGATTCAAAGACAAACAACAGAAACATGAAGGAGACACACTGATGACACATAACTGAAGTTCATCCCTGAGTTTCAAGATAAAGCACCAAACAATCAAGAAGTCCTCCATTTGCATTCAGACATTGGTCTCCATATAGTAAAGTCTGGACGGCTGAAACATTTGCAGTGTTTAATTATTTTCTGTAAACTCTGAAGTTTCTAATTGTGTCCAGGGAAAAACCTCCGTCTGCGTCCTGCATTTGGTGCTTGACTCCAGCGTGTCCAGGGAGTCGTCACCACAGCTGTGTTTCTTCAGCTGTCGGGAGTCGGAGAAGCCCAGATGGCAGCGGTCACAGGAGTACAACTTGATGCCGGTATGGATCTGCATGTGGGACTTGAGCTGGTTGGACTGCCTGAAACTCCGGCTGCAGACGCTGCACTGGTACGGCTTCTCTCCGGTGTGGACCAGCAGGTGGCGGTGGTAGTTCTGAGGGGTCCTGAACTCTTTGCCGCACTGTTCGCAGCGGTGAGGTTTGACCCCGGTGTGCAGCAGCTCGTGTTGCTTCAGCTGCGACGCCTGCAGGAAGCCTTTGCTGCAGAACGAGCAGACGTGCGGCCGGTCGCCGCTGTGCTGCCGTTGGTGGTAGCGTAGCATGTGTCCCAGGTGGAAGGTCTTCCCGCAGGTGTTGCAGGTGAACTCTTTGTTCTGCTGGTGGCTCTTCTCGTGGATCCTTAGAGTGCTGGTGCTGCTGAAGCTCTTCAGACACATTTTACAGCTGAACGGTTTTGCTCCGCCGGATCTCCGCCGGCCGTTCTCTGCTCTGGAGAGCCGGCTGTTTGGGTCGCCATGAACCAGCTGCTGGTGTTTCTGCAGCTGACAGTTGTAGAAAAACGTTTTCCCGCAGCAGTCGCACATAAAGGGCTTCTCCACACCGTGGACCAGCATGTGGGTCTTCAGAGCCCAGGTTCCAGAGAAACCTTCCCCACACTGGTGGCATCTGATGGAGAACAGAGGAGAGGAGACAACACCAGGTTAGGATACAAGGTAAGAAACACTTGAAGCTTCCTGACTGAGCCATAAGTCGTGCGTACCTGTGGGGCTTCTCTCCGTTGTGGAGGTGCAAGTGTCGCTGCAGGTTGTATTTGAGGCCGAAGCTCAGCCCACAGGTATGGCAGGTGAAGGGTTTCTCTCCCGAGTGGACGACTCGATGCTGGATCAGCCCCATCCTGCATTTGAAAGCCTTGTCGCATTCCGTGCACTTGAACGGCCGCTCGTCCGAATGCGACCTCTTGTGGACGCGCAGGTTCCCACTTGTGGAGAACCTCTTGCCGCAGGTCTGGCAGGGGTACGGCCGCGCCCCCGTGTGGACGGTCTGGTGTTCTCTGAGACTCTTCTTCCTTGTGAAACTCTTCCCGCACACGTCGCACATGAACGGCTTCACTTTGGCGTGTGAAACTTCATGGGACCTGAGAGCGGCCGCGGAGGTGAAGGTGCGCTCGCAGGCGTGGCACTTCAGAGGCGTCTTCTCCAGCCGATGCGAGGCCTGGTGGACCCGGAGCTGTCGCAGCAGCCGGAACTTCCTACTGCATTGGTCGCACTGCAGCAACTTGTCAGGGTCGCGCTCCTGCGCCTCCCTCAGCTGGTGGCTCTGCTGGTGTTTGTGCAGCGTCTGAGCCTTGTAAAAGCCTTTATCGCAGGAGTTGCAGGGGAAAGGTTTGCGATGGCTCGCCATGTGTTTGGTCAGCTGGTGGTTCTGATGGAACCCTTTGTTGCAGAGCTCACAGAAGAACCTCTTCTTCTTGTAAAGCTCCCTCCTCCTCAGCCTCTCCTGCTCCTTCTGCTGCTCCTCACTCTGAGCTGCACAACGAGAGGAGATAAACAGAGCGTCTGAAAAAGCATTAATCGGGTCGAGATGTTAAGGCACAGACCAGTCTGTGCACTGACAGAAGCAAAAGACCTGGTCCAAGATCAGGGCATTATTATTATTACAAAAAAAGAGCAAAAAATGCTGAATTTATCATGGCTCCTCAAAATCCAATGATAACGCTCGGTGGTTAGACCATTGGAAAACCCTGAGAAGAGATCCAGAGAAAAAGCAGGTCAGACTCAGACCACTAAGGGAAACCTGCTTGACAAAATGTTTGCAAATTAAACCGATAAAACAAACAAATATTTGATTTTACAATTGATTATCAAATAATGGTTTACTAGATTGAAATTTACATCCACTTGAAAGCATTTTATTTAAGTGTTTTGATGTTTCAGACATGCACTAGAGGATGCTGCTGTTCTTTCTAAGCAGAGCCTTACTGAAGAAGCCTGACGAATGACGGGAAAACTTCACGTCCAGGTGCCTAAACTCAACGTTTCAAGCTTGACCATGACCTGGATAACTGGGAATCTTCAGAGTTACAAAGCCTTAGTGCTGGTTTATTCCAGCCTGACTGCTTGGAGGCACATTTGCGTTAACTGCCCCACCCCTTCCGCATAAACTCTGCTGC